CATGCCATCAGGTGAAATCCATGTGTATAATCTACGTTTATGTCTCTTAAAAAACGTATTTGTAGTGAATAAGTCATTGATTGTGCAAAATTCAATCATTCTATCTCCAGCTTCATTTCTGTCACCAAGTCCATGTTTTCCAACTACTGATCCTTCTTCCCTGTTCCCAACTTTTGTGTTCCAGTCGCCCATTATTATCAATGCATCTTGATTGCATGTTCGATCTATCTCTGCCGGTAAGAATTGGTAGAAATAATCTATTTCTTCTTCTTTGGCTCTGGTTGTTGGTACATGTATCTGAATGATAGTGGTGTTCACTGGACTTCCTTGTAAGCGTATGGATATAATCTTATCATTCACAATGTTGTACTTCAAGATGTAGGTCATCCTTTTTTTACACACTCACATATAAAAGCGGTCAGAAGCTAACCCGGGATTTACCTAACAAATCTAGTATGAGACCAACCAATCTGTGGTTGGAACTCATAACCAAGAGGTTATGCTTTCAGAGTGCTAGTGAACCACAAACCAACCTCTTCAGAAAGGATGCCGAAGAACCTTGTGTCATCAACTTTGTAAGGAAAGATCACATTCTTGGTTAGTGTTGTGTGATCGACACCACTGTGGTAGTGCAGTTATTGTACCTCTCCCTAGTGAAAGCTGCTTACGGAATATTCCTTAGTTTTTGAAATTGTCTATTTTGTGGGAAGTCTTAATTTATTTGAACCAATCAGTAGATCCCTTATACAGGAGACTAGGGGCCGTGGTGGTACAGTGCTTAAGCATTTGGCTGCTAACCAAAAGGTTGATGGATTCAATATACGCAGCTGCTCCACAGGAGAAAGTGAACTGCTTTTATCAACTACAACCCAGAAAATCTAGTGAGGCAGGTCCACATGGGGATTCTTTGAGTAAAAATTACTTCAAACACATAACAACATTGCCGGATTGCCTCCTCGGCTCTTCAACCTTAAGAAGTCTGGTGGTGCAGTGGTCAAGTGCTTGACATTCTGGCAGTTAGAACCCTCCAGCTGCTCGGTGAGAGAAAAGGCCTAGTGAACGGCTGCCATGAGTATTGCATCCTAGGAGACCTAATGGGCAGCTCTGCTGTGTCATCCAGGATTGCTTTGAGTCAGGATTGACTTGACATCCACAGCAGTAACAGGCTCAAGCAGTCACATCTTCTTTGTTTTTGTTATCCCAGGAAATACAATGAGTTCATGAAAAAGACTAAACACTGAGTTAATGACTACAGGAGAGGAACAAATGTGTTTGCTACAGAAAGTCAAGGACTGCTGTCTTCAATATGGACTGCAGCTCAACTCAACATCAAGAAAACAAAGATTCTCACCACTGGGTCAATTGGCAGCATCTTGGTAGAGAGTGAGATTGTTAATAATTATAGTTTCCTTGGCTCCTCAATAAACACTCTTAGCACTATAAGTCAGGAAATCAAAAGACAAATTGCACTGGGGAAATCTGCTATCAAGGACTTCTCCAGAATCCTGAAAAGCAATGATGTTGGTCTAGAGACTAAGGTGAGCCTGATCCAGGCCATGGTCTTCGCAATTACTTTTGATGCATCAAAGAGCTGGGCAATGACTAAGGATGATTGAAGAACTGATGCCTTTGAGTTGTGATGCTGGAGAAGCGTGTTGAGCATACCGTGGACTGCCAAAAGAACAAACTTCTTTGACCTGGAGAAAGTGAAACCAAACCGCTCCTTGGAGGCAAGGACTTAGAAACTCTGTCTTATATCGTTTGGGCATGCGTCCTTGGTGAAGGACATCATGCTTGGAAGGGTGGAGGGACAGTGCAGGAGAGGAAGATCCCGGATGAGATGGATTGACTCAATGACTAGGGTAATGGGATTAGGTGTGTCAGAGACGATGAGATTGGCATAGAAAATGACATGGTTCAGAGCTCTTGTACATAGGTTTACTATGAGTCACAGGTGACTCGATGGCACATAATAACAACAATAATAGAATAAATTTTAAACAAGCAAGTTAGTAGTTTTATGGATTGAATGCTTTGAGTTACAGAACTGCCATGCTGAATTTGAGTACCACTCTCCTCCAGAAACTCTATGAACTTTGATAAATGTCTATAGTTGTAGAGGGGCCTCAGGCCTTTTGATCATAGGGTTGCTATGAGCTGTGCAAGACTTGAGGGCAATCAACAACAATAATCAGTGAACAAACCTCGTTATTTACTAGAAGGTTACAAATATGAGATTTGCAAACTATATGGAAGAAAGCTAAGGTTCATTTAATAATCCTTTTGATCTTTTCCATTCTTTCCTATTCTAAGTTTTTTTAAAAAGGGGGGTGTCATTACCTCTAGGGTCCACAGTCGAAGGTGCCCATCCTCATGGGCAGTGATGAGGAGAGGTGGCTGAACTTCAGCTGAGTTGGAGCCTCTGGATTGTGTTATGTCTACCAACTGCTGCTCTCCCGTCATGCTCTCTGTGGCCTCACCTATTGAAGACATCAGTGAGCGACCATGGCTTTGGTAATAGCTGAAATCCCCAACATAAAAAAGGGGGTGAGTAGGAAAAGAGCAAAACCAATTCTTTCCTTTCCCTAGCACTTCAACACCTGAGTACTTCAATTAGAGACAAAAGCATTTGGGGGAAAATCCCACAAACGTATGTTTGATCCAACTGCAAAAAAACTACCCTGTATTAAAGCAAAAAGGAAATATATGCCTAGGATAAGTCTTACATATGAGGATGTCATAGATCTAGTACAGGCTTTAGAAAAAAAATGGGCTGGAAACTAAGAAGCTTTGTAATATTTCAAAATAAAAAAATTCTAGAACCAGTGCTCAAGAGGCATCACTATGGAAATTCTGTATCAGAAACTCTGCCTCTTGGACTACTGATAGCTTCTCAACACTTGGTAATAGAAAATCACATATATTCATTAGGATTATTTGATTATTTAAACTCTCTATTTCAAAGGAGATGCTTTCTAATGTTGGTGTTGTTGAATGCTGTCTAGTTGAAACCAACTCATCTCTGACCCTCCAGAGAGTTTTCAGAGGCAGCAAATTGCATAGGAGATTTCCCATCCTTCTCCTGCTGTTAGAAAAAGATAATTTCCAGCATACTGACCTTTAACTTCAGTGATACTAAGTTTACTTCCCTGAATTAAGGGTGAGAAAAAAAGCAAACCATTATTTCTATGATGCTTTGATGAAATAGGATATATTAAATGTGTAAATTTTTAGATAGCTGATTTTACATTCCTAAACTTTAATTTTAAAATTTATTATGAATTAATTTTTAGAAAAGATCTTATATAGATTTTCATATTCATAAATACAGACTCCACAGCATATTTTCCTAGTGGTCCAGATATACTAATGACAGTAATTGAGTACCTGTGTGGGCCAAGTCGTTGCTGAATAGGATCTCTAACTCTAACAACAATCATGTAACTTTTGTTATTCTTTTTCCACTAATAAGTAGACTGAAACTCAAATAAATGGATATGTTTAAAGCTAATTGCAGCACAGCTGTAGAAGCTTGGGTTCAATTACAAGTCTAACTCTCAAGCCCTTGCAAATTAATTCTTTACAGCTTGGTAGTGGCTTTCAAAATGTTTTTCAGCAATGAGAATATTCATCCAAATAACCACTTAACTAGAAATGTGATGTCTGAAAAAAATATAACACTGGACTGAGAACATGGTTTAAAAAACCATTGCATTACAATAAATTGTCTCTTGTGAAATATGTTAGACAAAATTCAAAATGCAAACACACTGCTGTTAATTATGATTCACAGCAGCTCTCAGGGTTTAGAGAAGCAGACTGCCATATCTTTCTCTGGTAAAAGGGCTTGAGGAGCTTGAATGTTTTGGTTAGCAGTTAAGTACCTAGCCACTATACTACCAGAGGGCCTTGAAAATGTCTATTTCTTTTTTAGCAAAATATGTAGTATAAAAGTACCTTATTATTATTCATTGCTTTATTAGAGCACATATGATTTGTTTTTGCTCAATATTCTAGATTGATTATTTATAGATACAAAAGCATTGAAAAAACAGGAACCATTTCAACATTGATTTTTAGGGAAAAATAGTTTTCACATATACACACAGGTTCCCCCCTTAATATTCCAACAATGAAAAGATTTAGATGCAAAATATCACTATTCTTGGACCAAAAGTGGACAGAAGAGGAAAACACATTCTCCCTAATTCTTGCTTACCTTGCTACTTTGTGGGCCTCTACTCGAATCACACTGGGATGAAGAGCATATGGAATCCTGACTTGATCTCCTGCAGGAGAGGAAGAAACCCCAGGAGAGAAAGTTGAAATAATATCTTGTACTAACAGGTGCTGTCTGCTTTAATTGAGGTGGATTGCTTCCTTCATCCTCTATGACACAGAGTCACTCATATATGAAGCTTGCCATGCTCTGTGTTAGAAGAACTATCAGGAAACTTGCCAATTAATATACCCCTCAAATCCACCTCAAATCTCTGTAGGAGAAAGATGGACAATCTCCATCTGTGTGATTAAACTGTCTCTGCAAACCTGTTGGAGGATTGGCTATGGGTTGGTTCCAACACCAACAGCAGCTCCTACCACTGCTGTGACCCTGAGAGGGTAGAGTGTGGGAAGTAAGGCTGACAAGCCTGGATACTTTCCTGATGTACAGTTTCCAGTTCTGTCCTGGTCCAGGTCCTGGCCCTGTGACTGTCAGAATGGGATAAAAAGTAGCTCAAAGTGCTGGTGCAGACATATGCAGCACAGCTCCTCAAAACAGTCTCAGGACAGTTGCCACTAAATCTCAAGGTAAGGTGTAAGGAAGCTATCACTGAAGTTTTTTACTATAAAAACATGATTCATTTTGTTGTTATGTGGTAACCAGAGCTCTTATGAATACAAAAAATGGGAGGGTGAACTTTTTCCATAAAAATTTAAACCAAATCCTCTGTTCTTTGAGAAATGTGTAGAGATCACTCATTTATGGTAAGTGGAATGCAAAATTCCCTGCCATCTCCTCTCCCATGCTTACTCTGGAAGTCCATTAGTATTTATCATGCCTAGGTTTTGGCTAAGTTATAGATAAATGAGCACTTTCCATCTCTGCTACTGCTACACAGTAAACTGTGAGGCTGCCATAATAAGAGCATCTCACCTTATCTGCAAACTAAGTAAGGACAGAGGAAGAACACTAAAACAAGATTGTCAGCCCAACATTTGTCTTCCCTTCCTCATGCCGTCTTTAGTGTGAGGGCAAGGAGAAATACTCCTCAATCACCCACATAAGTTTAGGGAAGAACAACTTGATGAGTAAGTACTGCGTTACCTTGCACATTCAGGGGTACGAAAGAGGAACAATATGTCGTTAATCCTATACCGTTTAGGATCCAATTCAGGGTCCACAGTGAAGCAATCTTCAGGTTGGTACCTGGAAGTAGCATACATTCATGGGATAAAGATTCACAAATTAAATAGCTTTGACCACTTCTTGTTGTTGTTATGTGCCATTGAGTCGCTTGCGACTCATAGCGACCCTATGTACAAGAGCTTTGTACGCTCTTCTACCCTGTCCCAACCTAGCCATCTCAAATGCCACCTCTCTAGTCACAGAATCGATCCATCTCATCAAAGGTCTTCCTCTCCTT